AAGCTAAACGCTTCCCTAATTCTGATTGCTTGAATATACCACCATCGCTATTGCACCCATTCGCGCCAATGTCGACAATAGTGAAGCAGTAATCAGCATCCACTAGGGCTAACAGCACCAAGGAGAATGTCCCCTTGTAGTTGTGGTACAAGGCGCCAGAGTTAGGGGGAGCTTGAATCACAACGTGTTTTCCGTCGATTGCTCCGATGCAGTTTGGAAACTGCCAGTTTTCCTGGAATCGTCTCGCAATTTTTTGCCAGGCATCATGGTTTGGTGGCTCCAAGTACTGGGGCATTAGTACCTACAATGAAATGCAACACATTTATTACATTACATTGCTGCTACTACGCGTGGTTTCTCCGTGCATCTTAAAAGTTACACCTAACGTAGGCCTACTGAGTCGAGTGTATTATAATTAGGTTCATAAAAAACAAATATACATTTACCTCCCAGATTGCTTGACATGTATCTGTTACAATGTCTCTCACAGTTGACCAACCAACACGGTAGCTAAACCCAATGGTTTTGTACGAATCCCCTGTAGCTAGAAATCTGAAATAGAAATTCTGACTGCATCAAGATTGTGAGCTGAAACCTTCTTACTGAAATTTGCAAACATCTTATTGAGCTCTTTAAAAATTGTATTAACTGTTTCTGTAGATGATATTTTTAGTAGGTCATAATATTTGCATACTCTGATGGTAGAATAATATTATTCGCAAAGATGACATAAATGACTGTGCAAAAATAATTACCTCAAGCATATTGCTAGGCGCTGTTCTACACATATTGCTTCCCTAAATTGCGTGTTTTGCCGATGAATGGAAGGTCCTACCTGCTCTAGCAACTGTAATCAAATATAAATGGAAAATAATTAAATATGTCCCCTAATATCATATAACTGATGAGTATTAATGTGATATCATATGATAGCCGAACGCAAAGCACTATACATGGTACCATATTATTTCTATATTATTTCGCTTACCTCACTAAACTGCTCCTTAGTCAACCTGAAATACTGCCGAAACCGCTCGTCGTCTAATTTTAGCTCCTGAACAAGCCTATGGTATTCGCCAAGTTCCACCCGTTGCCGAAGAATTGGGTGTACCCAAATTGTTCTGCAATTATCCATAGAATATAAATATATATTTACACACTGTTACCATAAATATTAATTTTAGGAATTTAGACTACTTCAACTATTTTAATTATATAATATATACACACACAAACACACACACACACACACACACACACACACACACATGGTCCACACACACACACACACAACACCAGCGCCCACCACAACACACACACACACACACACACACACACACACACACACACACACACACATATATATATATAGATCGAGGTAGTATCAATTGATAGACTTCTGATATAGATAGATAGATAGATAGATAAACAACTTCTAATACACACACACACACACACACACACAACACAACGACAACCACACCGCACACAACACACACATCACACACATCACACACCACACACCACACCCCACACACATACACACCAACACCGACTCACACACATATATCATCATATATATAGTTCTATTATATATATCGAGGTAGTATCAATTGATGACGACTCTGATATCAGATCGATAGAGCTAGATCGCCACACGGTCCAGGGACCCGAGATAAACAAACTTCTAAAACACCCACACACCACACACATGCACGCCACACACACACACACACACACACACACACATCACACACACACAAACCTACCATACATTACATTACGGTACATTTATAAATTTCTATTAAACATTATATTGTTTTCTAGTAGAGGCCGTTTTTGACAGCCTCGCAGAAAGGCAGTAGCAGATATCTTTCGCGCCCTTTTGTTGATTATCCGCCCTGTTGTGCGAGAAGTGAACTTTGACCTAACGCTGGTCGCTGGTCGCTGGCAGTGTGGCTGCGCCAGTCGCCGGACTCTTGTCGTTTGTCGTTACAGGTCGGTCGTTGTCGCTGCAGTGTGTTTGGCCTTTAGCGCGGCTTTTACTCCAAGAACGGTAGGCTATTGCTAGGGTTTAGAATACGCCGATGAATACCGGTTGAATACCGTTAGAATACCAGATGATACTCTGAATAACCGTTTTAGAATACGTAATCAGCAAATTCGTCGCATAGCCTGGTCGGCTAAGTCGTCAATGCGATATGGAGACACGGGGTAATGACTAGGCCTACTTACATGTCCGAACTCCCCTGCGGCACTTCGCCCTAGCTGCTAGTTACTGGTACCTTCTATCGTATCACAAGACCTTGGAGCTCAAGTTCAAAAGAGTATATGACTATATTAAGAGCGAGCGCTTCGCTCTTAATAATGACTACCGGTAATAGGTTATATATACTCTTTGAAAGCTTGAGTCCTCCAAGGGCTGTGTCTACTTAGTATTACTAGTATTTGTCATTAACAAAACGTCAGAACAAAATCAACAATTTGAAATGCTGAAGCTTGAAATATAACATGCAAAATTGTAACCACAGCCAGCTGTCTGACTGGAATGGAGTAATGTCAATTACGCTAGTATTCTAGACCCTAGCAATACCGTTTCTTGGAGCTAGCAAATGTAGCCGCTTACAATGAAGCGAGTGATGGTCAGAGTAGCGTTTACTACCTCAGTCGTTAGTTTAGTAATGTGGGGTACAGTCTTAAACAATTTACAGAGGTTCTTCTTGAGGTGTTTAACTAATTTCTAGCAGAAAGCGGTATTTCTTGTCGTAAAAGGTCGGAAATACGTGTTTCACCCGCACCTCGCGCCTAACTGTGGTGTGCTGTCATTAGTTTCCTCTGCCTGAAGATAAAGATCAGTCGCCGAGTCGTCTCTGCGATAATGATATTATATACACTTGTCAGATCAGGAATCAGCTTAGAATTTTTTTTTTGCAGATGAGGACTTTCCACTTCGATCAGCATTTGAAGAGGCTCAATATCAGCTCCGGCAGCTTTAAAGAAGGCATTTCATACCTTCACACGTAGGTAGTAGGCCACTCCTAATTGCAGGAATGCCAGGAAAAGAAAGCGAGGGCCGGCTGGCACAGAAAGTGGCATTGCACCCTACTTCTTACCAAGTGGTATGCCCGGTCAACCTTATTTGATATGGGGACAGGGAGCAGGGAGTTAATTTCTGCTCATAGTCCGCCGGTTATGGTGAGTTTGAGAGCTTTTCTGTTGTACAAGCTGATTTGAGGCTTTGTTTGTTTGCCTACCCATTCCTATCTATGCGCCCCCCAATTTTCTTTGTTACATTTTACGGTGCTTCCACTGTAATAAATCTTCATGTCTTAGTGCATACTTTGACATATATGTCCTCACCTTTTTTAAAAAGCTCAGAAATGATAGAGCAGTATAGGTAGGCGCAGGTTTTTTAGTGGTTCAGACAGCTATTGAAATGCCCCTTAGGCAATTATTTTGACCTTATCGATGTTTAACTCGTCATGAACACGCTGAACAAGTGTGCATGTGTACTTTTTCGAGGAATTTCTTATACCTACATCTCTAACGTATATAGCAGTCAATGACGAGAAACGCAAGTTTTATCCTTCCTGTTTACTCCGAATATCCAATGTTCATTCATCACTCATGGTGACAGCTACAAAAAACGACATTCACAGTCTGTAGATGATTTGTCGTGATCTTCATCTGAAAGCAGTTGTAAACAGTTTCTTGGAACATGGCAATTGTTAATTTCAGGGTATGCTGTGCTCTAATGGAAATAAACGAGTGTGAGCTGGAAAGACGCGGATGTTGAATTTAGGCATCGTCTACCCTGCGTTTCTACCCCCGAGACATAGAGAGAAAGCAAATAACACCTGTGGCGATTGGTCCGGGGCGCAGCAGACAGTTAGAATAATTCTTCCACGCAACGCCAAGAGTCTGTCAGAGACCACTGCGTTACACTGGCACAGGTTTTCCCCCCTCCAAGAGGTAATTTATGGTTGTGTAAATATTTGGGAGTTTATTTCCAACTGGCCTGACTATCCAATACACAACACAAAATATATCAAAGTTATCAAGTTTGAGATTTAGACAGTCCTCTAAACTTTACTATAAAGACATACAGTGCTGTTATATTATTATTGGCGACCAAATTGCACGAATTTGCTATACGTGGATAACAGTCAGTGGTTAACAAACTAAATTTGAGCAAGTGCACATGATCATCTGCTAGTGTCATTTCTAATCTTACTCTCACCAGTTGAAGATGCATGTACATGGTACATAGAGGAAGAACAAAAGAAACCTATGTATCTTCGGCTTACTTATGAAAAAGGGGTGACTGTTGTACTTTCGGTGTGTGGTTTCGCAGCTAGTGATGTCCCCAGGATGATCGATTATAATTCGAAATCATGCAACTTATAGTCTCCAAATTCGATAACGAATTCAACGATTGAAATGGGGGGGTCCAACCGGGCGCGCGCCCGCGTTTAGGCGCAACGTAGGGAGGGGCTGCATTTGGCTCAAAGATCTCAAAATTTTTCCGAAAAACGCCCGCCCTGACAGTATATCAGGGGCAGAGAAATAAGAATATTTTATCTGAGGAGTACAGAATACAGCGTTTACTTTTTTTTTTAATCACATGATTAATGGCTATTGCTACATTTTGATTTAATGCGATTAATCTAATATTTTCTGTGCACACTTAGTCCAATTTTATTGTCATATGTTTAGACTGTAGAGTAGAACGTAATGAGTGCTTTAGCAAATGTGTTCAGTCAGTTCTAACAGAATGAAGATACATTATTTATTTACATTGATTCAGTCGATAATTTTTTGAATTGTCTGGGATAGTTAAAATAGAGCAAATTAAACTTACAGTTTACTTTATTCTTCTCTGACCCATAGCGTCCAATAATATTTACGATATCCAGAGATTGTGAAATCCCGAACGCATAAGTAGGAAAGATAACAGTGCATAACATGCAGTACACATATTTACCAATATATCATACGACTGAACCAGCAATAAGGACTGTATGCAGTGTACATGATCACAAGTCCATGTCCAGTTTGTAGATACATTGAATGAGCAATTTCATCGCAATGCAATGAATGAGAAGTCTACGACGGGCCTCTGTGGTCGGATCCTGGTGAAGATTAGTGACTTACGCGACAGTGCGAACTGCAGCCCCAGGAATGTCACTCGTGGCGCAAGTTGAAATCTAGGGTAATTTTTGTGATGCACCTTACACACCTCTCATATTACAAAACAGAAAGTCCAAATGACAAGTTTTGACACCTTTGGGAATCGGGATCCAGATATGATACCGATAGTCCAGTCAAAATACTAAATATACACAATTGCAACAGAATTATTTATCACCATTGATCTTACTGTGGTCAAGGTATTAATATATCAAAAGTTTACCAAAATCTGATTGGTGGAAGAGACCGCTATTGCATAATTCAAAATGTCTCATGATAAACTCTGGAAATGCAAGAGTGATATTGAATTCTTGTTTTTTGGCCTATGTGTCCGTAGAGTACCTATCTAGCAAGATGTGAATGGTCCACATGAATAAGATTTGATAGTCGACACAACGAGCACTTCATCTCAAAAAATGACACTAAATCACTATCTTTCAGTTTTTTATCTGTTGTATATCTCTAAGCAGCGCTAGGACATCGTGAAAATTCCACTAGCCCCGAATATAAAAATTCGGCAGTGATAATTGAATCCACTGGCCCGAAACCAAAATTATCGTAAGCCCAGAGAGCATTTTCTTCAACAAGAGTCCGCTTCCAACCAGTATAGTTTGTCTGTTGCTGCTAAATAAATGTTATGCAGTATAATGAATAAAGCGGGTAACCAGTTTAAGGCATGTTGATACCTGAGAGACTGTGTATAGCTTACATGAAGAGGAACAAGAACATAATTATATTTAGGTTTTTCTGATACCGCAGCAAACTGAAATTTGAGGGCGATGTTTTAATAATCTTGCATACAGTCTGGCAAAAAGGGAATCGCCGCAGCCAGTTCATATCTGGGCGACTATGATCAGTGTTTCAAGCGCAAGTTTCCACTCGGCCCAAGCAGCTTGTTAGTCACTTTGGGGGCGACCGCCGGCGAGACCGCCGTATCAACCTTTTCGAGCGCTGATCTTGGGCATTAGGTTATATATCGCTTCCATTCTGATTTCGCCGTATTGTTTAGAGCTAGTACCAATATTTGTGATCCCATAAACGTTTTGCTAAACCTTAGTTTTGTGATAGGGGTTGTCTGAAAACACCTAATATGCAAGGTATGAAATTGCTATATGGTTGCTGTAACAAGCCTAAATGTAAAATTTCGGGTTTAATAGTTTGCCTTAGGGCTGTACTCTTCTATTGTTGTGTCTCAAATCTAAAATCGTATTGTAAATATTTGAGGGAAAATCGCAAAATCTATAAATGGACATACATACTAGGCGAAAACCGATAATGTTGCTTTGCGCCGGTAAATTGCACGGTAGTTAGCAAGATTATGTAGTGGCATGATGCAGGGTTTATGAAATTGTTGTAACTGAACTATAAATATGTCGAAATTATGCCATTCGTTTGGTGTCCCTGGCAGCCATTTCTTGTTCTTTTTATTGCAAATTAGTCTCGTTCCACTGGTCAAGTCAGATTTATGGTAAAGCTTTTGATATGTTACTATACGCATCGTACCAACCAAGTCACTTGGTGCAAATTAATTGTTGCAATTAGTGGTTGGTTGACTCAAAATTTAGTTAAAATGAATGGACTACCAGTGGAAACACTAGAAAAGTCTTGCTGGTAGCCCATATGCACCTTCTGATCATTGGACTAAGTCTATGGTCTGGGGGGTCCTCAAAACGGTCCATCATAGTCTCGGTCATGACCGACTGGCACTCTGTTGACAGACAGTCAATCATGCAGTCGGACACAGAATTTTGAATCATCCCGAAATATGGAAGGTGATTGGATTTTACACACCTGTGTCGGCTTTGTTGTTGTTCATGTTTTACTTAGCGGGCTATTTATGTTTCTGGTATTTCATTCATATATGATTGACAAGAGATAATAATCGGAATTACCCAGCGGAACGAACTGGGACCAGGGTGGAGAGTCATGCTTTTGTATACCTTTATTAATTAAAAATATATCTTGGGGTATACACTCAATGTTTCCATCTTTGAACATTTTCACCTGCCAGCTATAATAAATGGTAAGCATGTCCATGCTTCTTATGTTTTTGCTAGCCAAATGAGCCAGCTACAGATTCTCAACCACGTTCAGCGGCAAATCGGTCGGTAAGTAGGAGCCATTGTCTTTCAAGCTTTGTCTTTCCATATTTTTTCACAACATATGTGACCACTGCAAAATCCATATTCCGGTCAGGCGTATGGAAATATAATGTCAGACCCGTTCGCAACGCCTGCGGATGAGTGAAAATGGGCTGTTTCTCGTCCGAAGGACAAATAAATTTTCTGTCATCTGAACATGTTTTTTGTACGCACCAGTCTGCGTGTTGGTTTTTTGTAAGAACAACAAACAGGTCTGAGTTGCGTTCGCTATTTAAATCCAACTCTTGGGTGATAAGTACAAGCATGCCCAAGCCATTGATTACTTCATTGGCGTGCATACATATTTATTACAGTCAGTTATGTTATCAGAAACCCATTCACAGTGTTATATGTCTCAAAGTAGAATATAAAACTTCTGTCTGAGAGCTTTACTATGTCACATGTTTCACAATTTTTTGTGAAACCGCAAATCGCAATCTCTTCTATCCTCTATAAAATGCATCTCATTATGCTTTCAGAGGCTGTCACTGTCCAGACTGAGGCATGCTGCAACTAGTGCAAGAACTAGACCCACTGCAGACACCACTGCCCATACCAGTGACGTCCAAGAGTCTCAGGTGGGTGTCAAGATATTTTTTACATTGGGTTAGTACTCCAGGGGGTGCTACCTATACATATTGAGGTGTGCCGCTCGACCTCCAAATACCCTTCAACCCTACTACCAAGTAACTTAAAATACCCACCCACCCAAATATCAATTTGATGAGTCTATTGTAAGCGCGTCCTTTACGTCTTACGAGAAGTGCATAGAAATGAATATTAATAATTTCAAGTGCTGCTGACAAAATTTACACCTGTCTCATGTGACAGGTAATATTTTAGTTTACCTGTGACATTAACAAATTCAACCGCCACGCTGTCAGCGACAGAAAGACAGGTGATATTTCGAGCCGTGGGTCGGACAAGACGGGCATGGTATTTCTTCACGCCTGTTTGGTTTATGATAAGGGGAAGTGTGGGGTAAACATGAAATTCATGTTGGGCGAGCTCGAAAATCTATATAATTTGATATCTTTACTATAAAATAAAGTCCTATTCTATCCAGCTACCGCCACTTGAGCGTCCTTTGTTATCTGACAACTCCTGTTCTATTTTTTTAGCCGAGCACATCTGAAAGGCCTGGAACTGACCTAGAGGAGGAGCAATGGCCTAGAGATCCCATGAATGACACGGTGGAGATAAATGTAACTTGGCTCAATTGTGCCCGAGAAGAGGTTTATTAGTTCCTTTAGAGTTTCCATAAACTGCTTGCAATGGATTTCACCTATATTGCATATGCATGATCTCGCATAGCCTAGATTGGCCTTTGAGAGGGGCTAGTCATATTAAATGGTCAGAGGGTCAGATATAGCTGGGCATGGATAATGTGGCTGCTTTCATGCCACTTCCTCTTTCTAAGGTATTATGTTTATCTACAGCAATATTTTTAGGCATGGTATAGAGTTCTAATCAAAATATGATCGTTCAAAGCATCTCAGTGCCAAAAAAACAACTCCAGAATACTCATCTACATGTGTCATTTCTCCTGCAAAATATCTACTGTGAACATTATTATATTTAAAGGAATTTTCAATTATGCTTTTGGAATAATGGTTAAATGTATGTTACAATTGATTTAATTATCTTTTCGGACAGAAAATTATTAACTTTCAATGAATATATGACTTTTTTTTATTTGTTGCAGTACTTTGAGTACAAATTTTCATTTCCATTTGAATTCTTTTTAATATGGTTATATTATCTTTGTTTCGAATCATCTGTGTTTTTCAGTACTAGTATATACTCGCATGTTAGATTTAGCCTATCATAATCAGTATAAGCAGTATATGTTTACCCAATTACCCACAATTTCATTATATACAATGGTTTTGAGCTTAGAATATATACAGACTTTCAACACTTGTAAATATTTTTTAGAATGTGCATACATGTATATTTTTTAGATATCCATTTCTCAAATATGGCCATTACACTAAGGCATTGCATAAGAACAATTTCACAGTTTGTGATGCCATCAACTGCTTCTGTGTAATAGGAAGCTAGTGATCCCTGCTGCATCATCGGCGAGCAACAATATCTCTTCCAGATCAAGAGTTTTTGAGGGACTGGCACTTGATCAGACAGAGGGTAAGCGTTTTACGATTGTAACACTACATGTAGCTGATGGCAAAACACAGAATAACGGACCAAAACCAAAAGGTTTTTTTCGAGCGGCAAAGCAGCATCGGAAACGCCTCATGACAATTTTCAAGATCAGACTACAGTCATTGCTGGGCCTCATAATCAGGCTACAGATATATGAGGTAGATAATCAGATTCATTGTTATGTCGAATGGAATGTTTCTCATACATATGTGATTGAGATATTTTACTCTGCAGTGATCAATCGAAGAACAGGCAGCCCAGAGAGAGAAAGCGACAAGGCAAGGAAGGAGACACAAATAAGAGCAACGGCAAATTGAAATGCAAGAGTGTGTTCAACAGAAGCAGTTTTGTGGTGTCTTGGATCTTTT